TAACTGATATTTGAATTCTTTCCAAATGGTTTCAGAAATAAATCCTGCGTGAACTAAATAAATTGAATCGGTAATCATCCATGAACACTTTGAGTGATATTAATTTCAAACCCCAGTTATTTTGAAGTAATCAAATTTAAATTTCTTAAAAACTCATCACATCAAATTGTTTAAAATTTTTTTTTTCATTTTCTCTTCCATCCTAGTACGTGAAAGACAATGACAGAAAAAATTTGGAAATTCAATTGAAGTAAAGAAGTGGTAAGTTGTAAGTGAATTTACTGAGTAATACTCGACGACTTGATTTTCGAAACGTCGAGTTCAAAGTCAAAATTTCGACTTTAATTACGAAACTTCAACTTTAAACTCGAAATTCAGAGATATCGAGTTTAAAGTCGTAATTTCGACTTCAAAGTCGTAATTGAAGTCGAAATTTCGAGATTTGAATCGAATTTTTGTTATTTAAGTCGGAATTTTGAAAATAAAGTCGAAATTTTGAGTTTAAAGTCGAAATTACGACTTTGAACTCGAAATTACGGCTGATTGATTCGAGGGTTTCAACTCTCAAAACCAAACCGCGATTTGATCCATTATTTCGAATATTGGCAGATGTAGGTTTTCGGGAACCGTGTCAGCCAATTTTCAAAAAACTAGGTATCATGCCTGTACCAACGTTTTTTATTTTTCATGTTTTGCTAGAAATCCACAGAATTGCGAGTACCTTACCTAAACGTTCAAATATTCATCAGTACCGTACGAGAAACGCTGAAAAGATCTGTACAAATCGATATCGCCTAGCTAAATCAAAAAAAAATTCTTTGGATTACAACTTATATAACTGTTTACCAGTCAAGCTGAAAGATCTTAGTATGAATAAATTCGAAAAATCCTTCAAACAACTACTATTGGAGGCTGCTTTTACTCTGTCTCTGATTACCTGGGGTATTTTAAAAATCGCTCCTAAGTCTCAACATACAAGCAACATACTCATTTGACTACCGTAAATATGCTATATCATGTTGTTCTTTCATGTTTTTAATGTTAATTTTTATGTTGCTCTACTTTTTATCTTAAATTATATTTTATACTCATCCGATCTGAAATTACTTTTGCTGTGCTTAAGCATATGTAAGAAATTTGTCATGACTTGCTACAAACATGTAAAGTGTAATGTGGTTAAATAAACTTCTAGTAATGCTCGAAGTGTTCTTCATTCACTGCCATACATGACGTGTTTTGACGTGTTTTATTTGCCACAGATCCCGTTTGTCGAAATTTTGAAATTAATTCCAAAACGTATTTACGATGTACGTTTTTGTTTGGGTGTTGCTCATTGAAAATTCTACTTTGAAAATTCTACCTTGTTTACACATTCGATTATTGGAATAATATTCAATTATTTCTACCTTATCCTGAATAGAATAAACCATTTTTTATTTCACTCATTAATGTACTACTGTCAAAAAACTGAAACAAAAGGTTTTTTACTGTACCAATACATAGGCGTAATAAGTCAATTGCGTTATTCCAAAGGTACGAATGTCATCAAATAACTTCAAAAATGCTCAAAAACGTCGGACGACATTTCGAGAATAACTTATACTCATTTATAGCAGTTCATGACGAACACTTTGAGCATCTATTGTGAATTAAAGTAGTTTGCGATGATTGGATTATGTAATTTTTTCAGTTGTTGTTTTTTTTTCGTGAATAATTGTTAAATAGCGAACACTCACATGTCTGAATTCCTTATGGAATTACCTTTTCAATGCTGTGCATTATGTAATTTTTTAAATTGTTGTTATTTTTTCGTGAATTGTTCACATTACCTTTCAAATAAAATGTGAATTGAAAAACAAAACAGTTGTTTTTCCTGCAATAGAGCGCCAAAATGAAAAGTTAAAAGTAGCGAACACTCACATGTCTGAATTCCTTATGGAATTACCTTCTCAATGCTGTGTCACACTTAGTACTTTCCCTAATCAAATTTTATGAGTAACCAAGGGGTGGGGAGAGAAGTATGACAGTTGAGGTAACGATTGGATTTGTCTCCCTTGGATTTAAAATTGACGTGTTTTTTGCAATATATTCACAACACATGTGTTTTGAAGAATTCGTTTTCGGTGTCGGGTTAAATCGAACCATAATTACAAATTTCGTCCGCCATTTTGGAGCCACCATCTTGATTTTTTGCATTGAAAAACAATTCATAATTTCCGACCCTGAAAACCACCACTTATCAATTTTGAATCAAATCGGACCATAATTGCAAATATTTTCCGCCATTGTGAAGCCGCCATCTTGTTTTTCCCCTAGAAAAACTCCATAATGCATTATCACTGAATTCATGTCAAATTAGCTTGAGAATGAAGTATCATAATTTGGAATACATAACAGTTTTTTCCCGCAAGAAGGGGTCACAATCGAGAGTTGGGTAGCTAAAATTTTCATTGCTGAATTCCTTATGAAATTACCTTTTTAACGATATATCACACTTACTACTTTCCCTATTCAAATTGTTGGGGGGATAGTCACCGAGATCTTTGGATTAAAAATCGACGTGTTTTTGCATTTTTTTTCAGAACACGTGTGTTTTGAAGATATTTCATCTGTTTCGTTTTCGATGCCTCACCCTGTAGAAGAGAGATGAATCTCTAACCTTCCAGACTATCAAGATTTCAAGTGATGTTCTCGTCTTCAATCAGGCGGATGACTCTTTTCTGAATGGAATCCAGCAGCTTCAGGGTATGTTTGACGGCGAAGCTCCATACATGAGAACAATACTCCAAAGAAGGTCTGCTCTTAGCTCTATAAAGCATCAGAAATTGCTGAGGTGTGTACAGTTTTCTGGTTCGGAACAGTGTTCCGAGCAGCCTTCGCAATTCCAGCGACATGAATGTTCCAAGACATATTGGTGTCCATTTTAACTCCCAACAAACTTATCGAAGCAGAAAGTGAAATTGTCTGACCTGACATCATTATATCCGGTTCGCAGACATTTATCGCAGACATTTATCTTCTTGGAGAAAACCGATGCCTGGGTTTTTGTGGCATTGAATTGAATCTGGTTACTTTCACCTCAATTCGAAATTACTTCTAGATCCTCATTAGGATATTCAACCTCCAGCTGCCGGTGAAGATTGCTTCCGCAGCCGATGTCCTGGGATCCAAATGGAATGACGAGATAAGTGTGTTGGCGTCAGCAAAGCAATATTTTGGATTCTTGGTTTTTTCAATAAGTCGTTGATAAACAATAAAAAAAAGGGTTGGAGACAATATGGGTCCCTGGGGAACACCAGCGTTGATGATGAAAGTATTCGAGATATATCCATCGACAGCCACTTGCAAGGGAACATTCTTTCAGGAAGTTTGACCAGCAAACCCTCGTGCCACACACGGTCGAAAGCCTTAGAAATATCAAGCGCAACAGCTCTTGACTCTCCATGTTTCTCGATTGCGTTATTCCAAATATGGGTCGCCTGTCGCCTGTTAATCTTTGTTTCCGAAATCCATATTGATGATCGCTCAAGATGTAGAAGCCTTCCAAATATTTGAGGATATGCTGGTTAACGGCTTTCTCCATGATTTTTGATATCACTGAAAGCAAAGCGACTGGTCTATAGATATTTGGAAGAGTTTTCTTGCCCTTGTTGGGAATAGGCTGAACGCGAGCAATCTTCCAACAAAAAGGAAAACCCCTTCGTTGTAAGACAGGTTGAGAAGTCTGCAAAATACTGGTGCGAGTTCATTTGCACACTTTTCAAGTACGATGACGGGCACTTCATCAGGATATTGAGCTGTTTCAAAATTCGCCTGACTGAACGCTGTCGAAAAATAATTTCCGGCATTGTGGATTCTAATGTGGGAATAGTGGGTGGTGCCTTTCCCAGAAAATCCACTGTGGAGTGGGACGCAAATTGTTCAGCTAGAAGATTTGCCTTATCTATGGCTGCTATTGCAATTGAACCATCCGATTATATCAGTGGTGGAATTGTGGATTTTGTAAAGTTCTGATTAACAGCTTTAGCTACCGAATAGAAGTATCTAGACCCGTTGGAATTGGCAAGCAGTTTATCCGGATTGTGAAAATTTCTTCGGCATCTTCGAAATATTTGTCTATTTAATATGTCAAATAATAATGTCTTTCGATTTGATTGATAATTTGTGAATCAAACTTTGATGACCGTCACTTTATTATTGTGCAATAACTAAAATACCATCAGTTAGCCAATACGATATATCAAAAGCCTATGACTGTATCCCTAAAAACTCTTTCGAATTGTGAGTAAAATCAGAGCTTCAAACCCCGTGCTGCTCCAATACTTTTTTAGGAGTGAATAATTTTTTGGGAAAGAAAGTTTTTGGCTTTCTACTACTCCATCTTGATACAAAAAATGTGGGAATCTTCCAAAGTAAGGAAGAAGGTAATCAATTTGAAAATGAGTAACTTTATACATGGATGTGTAGATCATGCAAAGAAGCAACTTTCAGATATAAACTGAAAGAAAGCCCTCCTGAAACAGCTGCTTTCATATAAACATTGAATTACACGAAAGAAAAAAAATCGTTCGAAACAAATACTTTTACATGAACACTGAATTATACAGAAGATACTTTTCTCTTCTCAGTTTGTATTCCAAACATTCGTTATGGAATGAAATTCAGATATCATTCACAGGAGTTCTACTTTATTATTCATTACCATTCATTTAAACGATCCAGAAATACTCTTTCTCATACAACGTAACGGCATGCTAGAGCTCAAAATGAGCCATTCTTGTGGTGAATCTTGCAACGGCTTCCCTTTTCACTAACCATAACGTTTGTTTTCCATTAACTTCAAATGTTTCAACTTTTTTCATACACTCCAAATGATAAAAGGTCAACATACCATTTTTCAACCTCTTCTAAAGAACATGTTCATTTCCAAATGAAACTTATCATCGTTAATATGATCTCCACAAATCAAACAACAGTGTTTTCAGTACATTCCAACTCACCCAGAATTAAGTTCGTCGAGAAGACTATCGACAGAAGGCCTATTGAGAGTACTTTGGGCGCTAGAGGGTCTTGAATAGTTGGCAGGACTGCGCCCTCCTGATTCGTGAAGGGATCCATTGTAGTTTCCGCCAGAGCCATTCATGTTATCTGCAACAAGAATTATTTATAAAAAATTACATTTTCCATTAATCAAAATAGTTATATATACTTTAGTCTGTTTTACCTACGTAATAATAACCAGTTATCAATTTCAGCGAGGGGAAGTTGAATCTACTTCGAAAACATACCGCACACAATTGTTATTGAAAAAACCTAAACTTCAGGGTGAAATTGCCAAGTACAGAAAAAAAAGTTCAACATTTAGCAAAAGATTTCGTTCACCGTCAAAGACGGGGAATTGAAATGGCTCATTGGGGCGGTATTATGTATCTTATTTAACGCAAACTATGTAGTACTTTAATACTTTACCATTATTATTGGATAAGCCAAAAAAACTGAAATTATCCCATCCAACCTTTCACTATAAAAAACGATATCAAAATTGAAAATTCGCATTTTTTACAACAACAACATTTTCGTAAGTTATTAAACTCAATAACATACACAGTCATATATTTATCGCTCCACAACTAAATACGTGAATGATGTTATACATTCCCATTAACAACATAATCCTTTGTTATATTTTCTTGATGTATCATAGCGACATGTATTACGACAACGCCGAACAAAACGTAATGTACAAAACAAGAATGGACGAAGAATTGAACGAATTGAACTTCGAAGTTCTTTCTCATCCACCACACTCCCCAGATCTCTTCGATCATCTTCAAGAGTTTAATCTTCTTCTTGAAGATGATCACTTGGTGATCGAAACACGTGTCGAGGTGTTAAAATACCGGTTTGGTTTTGGGATAGAACTCCAGTAATATTCATTACTACACCAAAAGTTCCAAACAGTGCTAAGAACTAAACATTAATTAGGAAGGTCCTAGGTAGCAGTCATCACACCACTCTCCTCAGCAATCTACAGTAATGATCAGATGAAAAATTATAAAATCGTTGGGCGTAACGTAAACTGAGTAAACATGTAAATACTACGACCAACAATTTTATTGTTTTTTATCTGAGCAATACCGTAGATTGCTGAGGAGAGTGGTGTGATTACTGCTACCTAGGATCTTATCCTGCACAAGTTTATTAAGCTTTGTTAGCTTGACATATTGTGCATAACGAAGATGATCGATAGTATCTACAGACTTTGGGGCATTATAAACAGCTAATAAAGTTTGCAATCCACTATCAAATAATCTTTGAACCTTTTTACTTTTGACCCCCAATTTTTGAAGTTGCAGCCGTCGAATCATATGTGAATTTTGAGAATACTTTTATGATGCCAAAATACAAAGTTTATACAAATTTACAGCTGGGTATGTCAACTTTCCGAAATATAGGCCTAAATCGACCTAAAATGACTGGACAAAAAACAGTTTAAAAAAAACGCCTTCGGTCATTACGATTCATTCTCATTCAATTGAATTGGAGAAGTATTCACAGTTAAAGTATTTATTTATGGTTGAGTATTTACAGTTCAAAGCAGGCTCATAAAAACTGAAAAAACTTTTGAAACAACCTGATATGTTATTTAAAGAGCTCCAATCAAATATTACAATTACTATTCGCCTGCTATTCAGTCATTATTTTATGAAAGTTCACGCCCTATAATTTTTTTGTACTTTTCATTGAAAAAAATTTTGCTGATCTATTGTTACGGCAAATATAATTTTTTTTTCTGTTTTCCAGAAATATCCGACAATGAAGCTTTTCACGGCTGCACACACTTTTACAACAAGAAAACAAGGCAAACTGATTCTCACTGAAATTTCTAACCAAACATAAGATTTTCACTTCACTGCTCGCGTCTCCACACGTGCAGCTTTAAAAAACGTAAACAAACAATCTAAAGTGACTAAAACTATTTGAGAAATCTCTTATTCGGCTAATTAAAAAACGGAATTATCTTCTCACCTGGAGTCGACGTCCCATACTTGCTACTCAGATCCAAGAGGAGAGAATCGAGTTCATCCAAATTATTGTTGAACGCCCGTTGTTTTTCCATCGTAGACGGTTCCGAACTGTGACTTCCGCGGATGCCGTACCCTGGGCTTCGCATGTCGGAAGTCGGTGGTTGATTCTTGCCGTAACTTCCCTGGAAGATAAAGATACATGTGGGTCAGGATTTTCTGAATCGACATTTATCATTTACTCAACAGCGGATATGACGAAAAGTAGTACGTGCAATACGTTTACGGCAATCGTGAGTCAGATATATCTAAGGTATATCTAAAAATAAATGAATCAATACAAGTTTCAACACAGGTACTTTCAGAGTACTGTTGGAAAACGTAGATTTTTTTTCAATTTACTCATTACGAAAAGACCCCTCTTCTAAGATAACTACAATTTATAACGAAACGCGGTTTAGTAAACCATTCATTGTGAAAATTTGAATGAATCTCATTAGTAACATTTCAATTCGCCTCGTTATTTCTCAACTGTTTCTAGTGCTCTCGATGATTAACTTTGAATCTTCTGATTGAAAAAAGATATCCAATAAACCTTAAAATATAAAACATGTTACTTAGGTTACGACACAGTGACTTGGTATACGAAATATTGATGACTCATCCAAATATCAACCCACTTCGTTGTTACTTGGTTGTTATACAGACTGATTCACTGTGGATAGCACATTAGACGTTTCTGGTGAACAAGACACCGGATCACTTTGAAAATTCATATTCGGACATTCTCTACCCAAGTAAAATATTTTCGACAATGCTGGGTTGCCACTTCCATAAGAAAGTAGTAGCAACTTTGATTTTTCAAATAGAACACCCTGTATATAATATTATTTTTGGAATCTGCAACAATTACCCGACAACTGCTTTTGATATTTCGCTATCCCTTTTTGTTACCGTTTTCGAAATATTAATTAATTTCAATTTTTTTCTTCGGAAATCATGACCTCTAAAAATGCTGATATTATCTTTGAGTTAAGGAACACTATGGTACCGAAATTTTGTTTGGAATTAAGTAATATTTGGAGGTTTCCCACACTTCAGCGTAATCTCCGTTACTTCGATACAGGGTGGCGAAAAAAACAGTTTTTTAGTTTGCTCGAAAAAGTGACTTGTCTCCCTTCAGAATGGTATTTCCATTCGGTATTTTGTAAGCAGGCCATGATTACTATTTGACAATAACGTTGTGACATTCTNATATTGATCCCTGAGGTAGGGTGTTCCATTTGAAATAATTAACTCAGTCACTTTTTCGTACAAACGAAAAAACTGGTTTTTTTTCACCACCCTGTATTGAAGTAACGGCGATTACGCTGAAGTGTGAAAAGCCTCCTAGTATCACCTAACTCCAAACAAATTTCAGTACCATATTTCGATAACGGTAACAGGTAGGTATAAGGAAATATCAAGAAAAGTTGTCGGGCAATTGTTGGAGATTCCAAAAATAATATTATATACACAGTGAATCCACCCTGGGTATATTCATAGATATCGAGGGAGTGTTTGATAAAACAACCTTTCGAACAATTACCCAGCAACTACACTCCAGGAATGTACCTCTGGTAGTAGGTGAATGGATACTCAAGATGCTCTCTAGTAGAGCAATAAGTATCAATCTAGAAGACATCGCAGTGAGAGGATTGGTCATGAGGAGATGTACAGAAGAAGGGGTCTTATCACCCCTTATCTGGAACATATTTCTGGATACCCAGATTATTCACCTCAACAATAATGGGTTCTACACAATTGCATATGCAGATGACATAGTTATCTTGCAGACCGGCAAATTTGTGAACACATTATGCAATAGAGCAGAGGATAGGCTCAAATTACTAGAAAATGATGTAAGAAAGACTCACTGCCGATCAATCCCAAAAAGACTGAGATGATCCTTCTCAGCAGGAAAAAATTATATCAAATGCAGCGATTGACTTGTTTAAACATCACAGGAGCCATGAGAATGACACCGACCGCGGCAATGGAATTAATTACTGGTCTGACCCCTCTGGACCTGTAAGTAAAGGAGATTGCGTTAATGGGCATGTTACGATTGCGCACGGCTGGTTTAAACCTCTAAGTAGGAATGGGTCAATTAACCCTCTCGCCTCTGGCGAGAAGCGCTTACTGTGCAACCTCTGCTGCAGGCAGCCAGTGAGCATCCCTTGTTAAGATACAGCCCCTTAAAGGGGGTACATAAAATTTGTATAACAATTTTTTTCACATGCACTAAAAAAGTTACAATATTGAAATAAACATGACGTTTTGTACTACCAAAAAGACACTTAGCCAGAAATTTATTTTGGCTAAATGCGCCTATAGGGAAGCAAAGGCCAAGAACTTTGAGTGAAGTGAAGCGAGTGGTTTACCCCATGGTTGTAAGGGGTAGAAAACGCAACCCCTAAAATGTATTTCCGATAGTTTCATTCTAAACAAAACATGTCTCTTGGGTTTTTTGCCCAAAATAAACCAGTTCGCAGCAAAAAATCATTTTAGGAACAACTACAGAGATACATCGTCATAAATGCGAAAATACGAAACTAATCTATCTAGTAGGTCGCTATTAGCGATAGTGACAATTAAATTGGTATGACGCTGTCAGTTTGTGAATTTTATAAATTGAATTAATACTAATTGGGTGTTGTTGTTCTGTTCTTAATTTGTTACTTTAATAATTCATTTGTTATTAAAATGGCATACACAAATGAGGAAATGGCTGATATGCATTGCGTTTACGGTCTGTCGCAGGGGAATGGGTTAGAAGCTTCTAGAAGATATGCTTTTATTTCTTTTTGTTTCTTTATATAAAAGATCCTATCTTTTTTTCGATGAGGAATCACCTCCTTAAATGTTTTACACTTATTCAGTTACACTCTGACGGCTCAAAAACCAAAGAAGGATCAGGAGGTGGAGTGTACTCCACATCACTAAGCCTAAGGATTAAGTGGGGAATGGAAAAAAATACCAGCGTAGTTCAAACAGAACTGGCTGGTATCTCAATCGCCATTAAAGAAATAACCAGGAAAATAATTACTGGCAGAAACATAATAATCTGCACTGATGTCAGACAAGCCTTGAACAGACAACGTGTTACCTTAGGGCTAGTACTAGGGTGCCACCAAGATTAAGCCAAAGCCTCGTTGGATAATAACATTATCCTGAGGTGGGTTAAATGACACGACGGGAGTAAAGGTAATCGCAATGTCGACCCTTCAGCCAAGGAAGCGGCTGGACTAAGAATTTTAGGACCCAGTGACACCTACGTCCTGATGACTTCGACAATTGTGAAACTAGCCAAACGTCACCCCCATGCTCAATCCCTAAAGAAATGGGATGGAATCAAAGGATGCGATCTTGCCAGGATCACCCTGGACCAGGAAACATCTACGCCTAACAGTAGGATTTCTGACTGGCCTCTGTCAACTAAGGAAACACTTCCATAATACGGGGCTGGTGGACACACCTCTATGCAGGATGTGTGAACAGGAAGATGAAACTGTCAGGCATGTCCTATGGGAGTGTCCGAAGTTATCGTCAATGAGAGAGTGTGTGTTCGGCGAGTCTTGACCTACACATGCCGATATAAAGGAGATATCTCCCAGTGACCTGTCCACCTTCCTGGAGAGGATAGGATAGACGATGATCTAGGAGGACAACTCCTCGGGCATACAGTCACCCTGCCTACTCTACAGATACAGGATGTTTCATCTAAAAATTAAAGTTGCTATTACTTTCTAATGGAAGTAGCAACACCGCATTGTCGAAAATATTTTAGTTGGATAGAGAATGTCCGAATTTGCTCTCAGTTAAATTTTAAAAGTGACCTGTTATCTAGTTCAACAGAAACGTCTAATATGCCATCCACCGCCTCAAGGATTTTTCTGTAGTGCTTGTGTTTTGTCCTTAAAAAAAGCCTGTATATGTATTGATGGTGTACACACGACAACCAAAAACAAAAATCAGATTATGCAATGCACCATAAGATTTATTTCAAAACAAAATCAGGTTATTTTGATTGTTTGAAAAGACATCGAGGATAAAATAAAAACATTTGGCAATTTATCAAATAATTTCCATTGGGAAATATTTGTTATTGTGGCTTTTATTTATGTAGACTCAGAATCGATTCAAAATAGTCATTATTCCTGCTTTTCTAATTGAGATGACGCATAAGTATTCTTGATTTCGGTTCATTTCCAGATAAACCGAAATAGACTTTCAACTAGTTTTACAGTATAATTATACTTTCATTTCAAATTTTAAATATATCATTAGGTTGTTTCAAAAGTATTGCCAGTTTTAACGTAATGTTGTTTTGCAACTCCATATAATAATAAACATTTGTTCTACTATGTCGTTGTGTATACTGAACGAAAGAGAATTTTGTCCTCTGTTCATTTTTTCCAAACTTCATTTTTTTACCTCTTTTCAGCTTATTATATGATGTTGTTAGGCAATTTTATGCCAACTGGGCGTCAGCTCCCATGCGGCTTTTGATGGATCGAAACGTATTGGATCAAATCAAATCAAATCAAAATGTACTTTATTGTCGAAGATGAAATCTCATTGACAAAGTGCTANTTCTCCTCGAACTCCGCAGACTCTATCCAGATCACTCTGTCAAGATGTTTGTTCTGATTATTGGAGTCCTTGATGAAATGATGTCCTCTCTACTCTCGAATCTTAAAATCATACCGGCTTGCCGCAGAAATCTTAGCCGCACAGATGCAGAAGGCTGTCATTCTTGGCTCACTGCGCTTGCACATGATTCTCGGACCCAATGATCACTTACCCCACGGTGTGGGGAGTGGTCATTAGTTGATAATGCTGGCGCGCCCTCCCGAATGTATCGGGACTTTGGGGGATAGGGCCTGACCAGCGCGCACTACGGTGAAGAAAATAATAATAATGAATGTTTTTATTACTACACAAACAACAGTTACAGAAAACAAGGTTGATTAATAATGAGTAGCAAATGGCATCGTTTGCTCTTCTACCTTATGAGAACGATAGAATAGCGCTCTTCCACGCAACCACGTGAAGAGACCAGTGATAAGAACGGATCCCTCCAGAAAAAAAAAAGAATATACAAACTCATAAACATGGTACAAATGGTAAAGAATTTACATAT